TTCTTCAGCTGGACATCTATAACATACAGTGTAAGGACTGTAACAGCCACTATGTAGGACAGACAGGCAGAAGACTAGCAGTGCGCATCTGTGAATACCAACTAGCAGTCAGAAGAACCAATGAATATTCCTTCATTTCACAACACATGGACAGACTCAACCATAGTTTCAACTGGGAAACTGTGACATCCTAGACCAAGCTAAATGCAAAAATGCTAGGGAATTCCTGGAAGCTTGGAAGATGTAAATTGTATTCAGTAATGGGCCCAATTACCTTGCGAGTTGTGAGCTGATCTTTGTAGGAGATGTTTAAGGAAGAAGTTAAAGCAACCATAATTTTGGTCTTCTCTAACTTCTAAAGGCTTTGCATCCAACAGACTTGACCTTATACTGTTCTACATGCCACCTCCAGGTTTCTATTAATCTTCTAAGAACCCTGGGAACATTGTATACTACGAATTCTGGAATCAAGTTCAAGTATTTATAAAATATTTCATTGCAAGGAACAGTAGAATGAGGATGACAGCATGTTTCTTCTTTTAATTGTAATTTTTGTTTGTGTGTATTTGTTCAGTGGCTATAGTTATGCTGTTTCATATTAATTTCAAGGGTTTGAGAGAATTTAATTATTTATTTCACCAGGAAGCTAGAGGATACTCAAACCTCCTTGTTTATAAGCACAGAAATCAGTAAACTATCACAATAAATGATTTCACAGGAAAAAGTGAAAATATGCCCAGTGAGTCTTTTTTTTTTTTTTAAACAGCCTTGATATCTGGAAAATAAAAAGTCAGTACCCAGAGCAGCTTCATCATACACCATCATATGTTTTTGCTGTCAGTAATACAACTGAAGAAAAAGTAGATATGTAGTTTATCTTGCTATTTAGTCTGTTCTTGTTTTAGACTATTAGCAGATATTTTAGGGTAGTTCAGTTATAGATTATGACAGAGTCCATTTTAGCAGAGTTTACTTTGGAACCAAAATCTCTCTTTTGTTTGAACACTATTAGAACGATGAACCAATAGAATAAGTACCAACCGCCCCCCATGTTGTTTTAGGTACTGTATTTAGTATGTGGTTATATAAATTGCATTTTGCAATTTCTTGATTCTTCATATCCAAAATCAAGAATATCGACATTTCGTTTACAGAAGATCATTTACAGAACTTGATGAAAATTGAGGAATTTTATGAGGTCACTTCTTTCACCTTCCTGACTAGTGTGTATTCACTTCATTCCTTCCTGACTAGTGTGTATTCACTTCATTCCCACTTCATTCTTCCTCACTACTATCATTACTACCCTTGCAGTTGCTCTGATCTTCTAGGTGTAATCTGCCTGCTCCTCTCCTTTGCTGTTATTTCTTTATAAGCCCATAGACGGCAGAGATATAAGCGAAGAAGATAACTGGTGGTGGGCTGCAGCAAGTCCCCGACTAAACCAAAATGTCATGCCAGCTGTGCTACTTCTGCTTAAATGTATTCCTAGCAAATACCGCAATGTAGTACTACTGTAACTTAATCTAACCCTGAGTAGCTCATTAGAACTTCTAGAAATGTTTTGTTATCTAAATAAACAGAAATATGAACAGAGATTGATCATAGCTTTACTTAATGTGAAGGTTCACATTAACCTTCACCATTTAGTGGCTCTAGGCAGATTACAAACTTGTAAAATTCATTCCAGAAAAAATGTCTAAGTTCCAATGTGGTTTTTACTCTAAACTAAACATATTAAACAGTAAATATTAGTATTTAGACCAAGGACTTGTCAGTGTGGCTCTGTCAGGCCTAGCCCATCACAGGCTCTTAGTGAAATATATTGGTTCACACTGACTTCATTACATTGGAGGAAGCCCTATCTAAACAAGTGATACAGTTATAAATGGAAGGTTTGGGCATTACATAACTATGTCCTGCCCTTCCATGTCATGTGTTAAATCTTTTTTTTAAAAAAATCATCATTATTTCATCAGGGATAGGGCTGTACAGATCTTTGAAAGGCCACTTTTTTCCAACAAAAAATTGAAGTGCCCCATTTCTAACTGGTGGGGTGGCTTTGGTCCGTCACTCCACTTGGTACAGATTTCATCAAAATGAAAAGCTTGATCGATCAAGGCAGTATGTCCCAACATAATGCTTTGTCAGTACACCTCTGAAGACCCATCATTGCAGCAAGACATAGTAGCATGCCTCCATAAAGTGCATCATCTCACTGAGTTAGATCAAGAATAATCTTGGGAACAATTTGCATGAAGAAAAAAAATGGCTCAAAGAATCTAATTTGGAGATTCTTTAAAAAGTGATTCTGAGGACTGAATGGTGCCTTCAAGTTCTTCGGATTCTATGATGTAGCACAAAAAGTGAGGGTACAAAAGTTTTCAATAACCAGTTTGTTGGGAAATTATGGAAGTCTAAAACACAAGGTTATATAATGTGTTATACATTGTGGAAAAGAGAAGGACGTGTTTATATGTTTTCTCTAGATTGCCTTGTGGCTAGCATAGAAAGCTATTTGGATAAGAATGTTGTCTCAGTGTAAATCTTGTACTGTTCTTATCTGTGGACTGTGGACTGATGTGGAGCAGTGTAGATTAAAATCCATTTGACTTCTGAATACTGGACAATTAAGAATGCTGAAACATATTCCCTGACTTCAACATCCGGAGATGCCTGAATAAGCCATTTTGTGTTAATAATTATTTTAAGTCAATATGGTATGTAGGAAAAAAAAATGACTGTGGTTACCATGGCAGATGTGGAAGAGTATTGTGCGTTGCAAGCACTACGTATGTGCTTGTATCAGAAATGTTGTGAATACATTGTAAATTCAACCTTCAACCCATAGTATTTAGAAACCTCTTGCGTATGTAGGTTATATGTCTCATTATTAGTTTACTTTCCTCAAAGGCTTAAAAATTACCCTCAGATTGATTTGTGTATACTATCACTGTGCATTGACTCAGATATTTGCTGTTGATTATGCTACCAGTGATTTAGAGGTTGAACCAACTGATCTGTTGAATATATTTATTATGTGCACATTTCAACTGTCATTAAGCAGCTAGTCATTAAACTGAGAAGTTTTTCCTGATTATTTCAGTCTCAAGAGTCTTAAGCATAATTAGGAAGACATTTTTTTCTACCAAGTCTTCCTTAAGAATTCACACGCCAATAGATAAACCTTTTATCAAGTGTTGCTTTATAATTCATTCTCCGAAAATCCTGTTTGCATAGTACATTCCATCTCTGTGTGAGCAAATATTAATCTGTTTGTTAAAGGTTAAAATATATTTATTTCACTGAAGTATTTAATTAAACTTCAGATTTGATGAGTTCATTATTTATTTATTTATTTATTTAAATATATTGGCTGCCCAACTTGAGTTTATCAAATCAATTTGGAGTATATTGGAGTCAGAAAATGTCAACTGTCTTGAAAAGCATTAGTAGACTTTCCAATGATTCCAGTGAGCAGAAGAGTAGGAAAAGGTAGATTCTGTTTTGAGTAAACCCTAACCTGAACTAACCAGACTACTCCAGGACAACAAATTAGGTCATTTGTGAGGAAATCTGTGTGTAACCTCCTTTGTGGAAAGGTGGATGCAAATCTGAAAGAGTTCTAATTTTTAAGCATTTTGTATCCAAAGTATTTTAAAATCTTTACTGTGAGGCTTCAACATATTTTCAAGACAGATTTTTTAAAAAACTGTTTTGTATGTTTCAGCCTATGATAACTTGAGCCTGAGATACAATATCGGTCACTTTGAAATGGTAGATGCAGTGTTGTCTATTTTTTTTTAACTGAGCTTGGGATTTAAGAATAAACTATATATCATGCTAGATTGTGATGTGATTTATTTGTTTATTTGTAGTTTTGGCTAGCCATTAAGTGTGAACTAAGCTTTTAAAATAACTTGGCTATTATGGGTTGTTCAACAAAGCATAGTTTTAAACAATTCTGATATAATGTATGGTCTTTGTATGGTCTTCCCCAACATTTGCCATTATAATGTTGCTATAATGGTAACGTTATATCCACACCAAGGCAACAGATTAATTAATCAAAATTACCACTAGGACCAGGAATCGTTTAGTGAAGCTGATCAGAATGTGGTTAAATAGGCAATTCCCACCCCCCACCCCCCAAAAATAACCAAAAACCTTCACATACTGCATAATTAACCTATGGAATTCAGTATTACAAGACACAGTGATGGTCACTGACTTGGATAGCTTTAATAGAAGACTAGATAATTCATGGAAGAGAGGTATATCAGGTGCTACTAATCTTGAATACTCAGTATTACCTTTGGGTTGGGGCAGCATGCTTTCAAATATCAGCTATAGGGAAGAGGGACCTTTTGCTTGTGAGCATCCCCGTAGGCATCTAGCTGGACATTATAAGAAACAAAATGCTATGACATTGGCCTGATCTAGCAGGACTATTCTTATGTGCCATCTTCCTAGTATGTGGCATTTCAAGAAAATTAAAATTAAATCTTTATTTTGGGCTTATTAATTTATTTAGGATTTTTCTCTCCTTTCAGTTATACTTATAGATCTGCTTAGCCTGGTCCACCTAAAACACTTTTTTTTTTCTTCACTCCAGTCAGACTTCTATAAAGACAAACTTGAGCACTGCAAAATTGTCAGCCAAATTTAATGGGATCCAATATGAGAGGACATCCAAAATGGAACCTGAATTTTCCCATTCTTTTGGATCTGAAAGATGGCTTTGAAATCTATGAAATCCCTTCTACAAATGCCTTGGTGCCAAATTACCTTTGGCTGTCAGATTGAGGAGCTTTTAGAGAAAGATACAGAAAGCTAATAATAAAAACACATGACAGTTGAAGAAATGCCTATCAATTACACTAAAGTAATTATTAATACTAATCCCTAAGAACAATGTTTGTCAGCTTCTGACAGATATTCTAAAAACATTCTTCTTTCAGAAAAGATGTTCTAATACATTTCTATTTCTTTTTGCCCAGTTCTTCTGTTCCTGATGATGCCATTAAATTGAAGCCTGATGTGGATTCTTTCAAAGAACCACCAACCACAGTCCTCTGTGATGCTGCTCTTGATGCTACTGAGCTGACTACAGCAAGGTAGGATAAGATATTAATTGCAGTTTTAAGACCTGTGTGAACAAGGATATATTGAATGTGCTAGTTACAGTGGGGCAAAAAAGTATTTAGTCAGCCACCAATTGTGCAAGTTCTCCCACTTAAAAAGATGAGAGAGGCCTGTAATTTTCATCAAAGATGAGAGAGGCCTGTAATTTTCATCATAGGTATACCTCAACCTTTTCCACCATGATTTGCAAATAAATTCTTTAAAAATCAGACAATGTGATTTTCTGGATTTTTTTTCTCATTTTGTCTCTCATAGTTGAGGTATACCTATGATGAAAATTACAGGCCTCTCTCATCTCTTTTCCACCATGATTTGCAAATAAATTCTTTAAAAATCAGACAATGTGATTTTCTGGATTTTTTTTCTCATTTTGTCTCTCATAGTTGAGGTATACCTATGATGAAAATTACAGGCCTCTCTCATCTCTTTTCCACCATGATTTGCAAATAAATTCTTTAAAAATCAGACAATGTGATTTTCTGGATTTTTTTTCTCATTTTGTCTCTCATAGTTGAGGTATACCTATGATGAAAATTACAGGCCTCTCTCATCTCTTTTCCACCATGATTTGCAAATAAATTCTTTAAAAATCAGACAATGTGATTTTCTGGATTTTTTTTCTCATTTTGTCTCTCATAGTTGAGGTATACCTATGATGAAAATTACAGGCCTCTCTCATCTCTTTTCCACCATGATTTGCAAATAAATTCTTTAAAAATCAGACAATGTGATTTTCTGGATTTTTTTTCTCATTTTGTCTCTCATAGTTGAGGTATACCTATGATGAAAATTACAGGCCTCTCTCATCTCTTTTCCACCATGATTTGCAAATAAATTCTTTAAAAATCAGACAATGTGATTTTCTGGATTTTTTTTCTCATTTTGTCTCTCATAGTTGAGGTATACCTATGATGAAAATTACAGGCCTCTCTCATCTCTTTTCCACCATGATTTGCAAATAAATTCTTTAAAAATCAGACAATGTGATTTTCTGGATTTTTTTTCTCATTTTGTCTCTCATAGTTGAGGTATACCTATGATGAAAATTACAGGCCTCTCTCATCTCTTTTCCACCATGATTTGCAAATAAATTCTTTAAAAATCAGACAATGTGATTTTCTGGATTTTTTTTCTCATTTTGTCTCTCATAGTTGAGGTATACCTATGATGAAAATTACAGGCCTCTCTCATCTTTTTAAGTGGGAGAATTTGCACAATTGGTGGCTGACTAAATACTTTTTTGCCCCACTGTAATTCAATGACTTTATCTAGGTGACACAGAGTTAAGGCAGCTGTGATATAGCTGCCCCTTAGCATGGTACTTCTAGCATGTCCTGAATTAGTATGGATCATCCTGTGGAAGAATAGAATTTGTCAAATTAAGATAGATTCAAACCCATCAATTATGTTGCATTCCTTCATTTTATTAATGGCCCTTTTACTTCTTGTTTGTCATTGTGTGCAGCTGGGTTCTTGAATTATCAAGCCCCAGACTGTGACGTCATGTTTTAGAGTTGTTTGATTTTGAATTGATCATCCCTAAATTATCTTCTTTCTTTTCCTAAGTGTCTGATCATTTATTGCTTTGAAGAAGTGATATTTTACCCCCCCAAAAAAGTTTTGAAATAAATGAAATAGTTGTGAAACAGTATTTTAAAGCCTTTTTGTTGCACCCAAGCTTCAGCATACTCACAGTTCTGTGATTTGTAGGAAAGACAGTAATATTTAGAGAACAGTGCTGCTACTGTAGTTGATAGACTGTCATAAAAGTAATTTAATGTTGGAAAATGCTTTGAAAAATTCTAGTAGATTGGATCTTTGACTTTCTAGCTTAATAGCTTGGTAAGAGCCTACCAAACATAATGCTTTTCAGTGTGGTAGCAAGATCGTAGCACACAAATGTATTGTCTTATTGTATATGTGCACCATCTGCTCATACATCCCTAGGGCCATAATCTTGTATCATGTATCCATGTTATAGGGAACTGTGGCTTTCAGACGCGTAAAAAAATAAGTAGTTTCTCCATTGACTGTGCTAGATCTTGACAAAGGCAATTCAGAAGGATTGGTTATTAAGAATTGTCTTATCTATGTAGCTGTGAACTTTTTTGTTTTAGCTGGAGAACAAAGAGAGCAAAGTAAGCAATAGGAACTATTTTCATTCATTGAATATAAACTTGATGGTTTTAAGGACTGTAACAGCTTTTTGTGTTATAATAAACAGTCCATAAAGTTGCAGACAAATATGCACTTATCATTTTAGCCAGGTTTATGTTTTAATGCAAGCAGTTTTGCTCAGGTGCAGTGGTTACACTGACAATAGATTTGTGGAACTAAGAACTCCCAAGTGAGTGCTGGAAGGAGAGGAGAAATTGGGATGGGTCAATTCCCTACTTATCCTAATTAATCATTCACTAGTCTGAGCAATTCTGTATTTGCAGATGGATATTTTAAAAGCACTATTACCAGCTGGTAAGTGTGAGCAGTTATGTAATGCTTTTCTGACCTATTAAAAAATGGTAGAGCAGAAAGAATGGAAGAAGTTGATGACTTAAGAACCACCAATTTCATTCCACAAATGAATGAGATGAAATGCAGGGTATTCATTTGGGTATACAAATCAGTAGTTGCCACAGCTTTGCACACAGTACTAGACTAGGTAAACTGCATTTTCATGTGGAGTGAACTCAAAATGAAAGACAT